AGACGTGAAAATAGCGCAGAAAAACGTATTTGAAACGATTCGTGCTTAGTAATGGACACTGAAGAAAATAAGTCAATGATTAATTGGAAACAAATACGAGTCGGCGTCGTCGGATTATGTTTCATGGGATGCAGTATAACCACATGTTTATTGATAGCCGATCATCCAGTAGTTGCGATCGTACCAATTCCGACTGATTTAGAAACTGCCGAGATGCACATTTACGAACATCTTACTCTTTCGTTCAAAAAAGGCATATGTCAGAGACAACCGACTCATTACTTACAAAATCTGACCATCACCGAATATTTCAATCTTCTCAAAGACACCTATTTAGTCATTGAAACCGTCGTCGAAAATGTGATGATTAAGAGACAGGTTTTCAAAAACATTAAAAATTTAGTACAATCGTTTTGTTTTTGGATTACACTGGGGTGTTCCTGCACATACTAATCGTTCTGTCAAAATTATCTGTGGAAACACCAGTGATCAAGAACAAATCAAGTGGTTATATCAACTAGCACATTGTTGGGGCAAAGAGTCAATGCTCTTACGAAAGGACATTCGAGGTTTCATTCGAACTCGTCTCATGTACGCCTTGTATCGAGAAGCCTTCTATTTGGTCGAAAACGGATACGCCTCTATCGAAGATGTCGATTGGGCATGTTGCAATGATCCCGGTAATTGAATCACTTTTTTCGACTGATTTCGATGGATGGATTTAACTGATATTTCAGCTTATCATGCTGTCGTGAAAGATTTATTTCCGACCCTTCACAATGGAACGAAGGTACCAAAACTAATCGGCAAAATAGTAAAATCGGATGGAAAAGATATAATAAATGGCAACGGTTTTTATCAGTATACACCAGAAGAAGCTTGTTTGTGGCAAGAAACGCATCAACAATGCAGCTACGATATCCACGAACTGACACATAAATATCCAGGTGATGTGGTAAAAAGAAAATTGGAACTACAAGAGAAAGATCGATTCAGTCCCAACGCTGTGCCCTTACAATCGGAATGATATGCTCCCAACAGCTATTGACAGTGTTGTATTGACGATACAAATGCTACAAAACTCGAACTGATTTCCATGATTTTCGGAAAAGCGTTTAATCTTAGTGAATTACATTTGTCTAAAGAGTCAGTAATAACATCATATTTTATTATTCATTGCCATAGTAAAAATGTGTCAAAGTCTTCAATGATCAAGGTACAGTTACGAAGTTTTCGAAATATTTTGTGCAATAACACTTTTTGTTAGGCATTACTAAACACGGATGAAATTGATTATTGCCATTGTCAGTGATTCAAGAGAAATTCATCTCATCAACGCAGTAAACCATACCCTTGCGATACTCTCGTCTCCGAACTCAAAAATCAGATTAAGCATATGGGAGTGGGTAACGTACCGATGGATTTGAATATGGACGCAGATGTTTTTGTCCTCTTGGTTCCACATCATCACACGTTTTGCATCACCGGATACCTCATAACGTAATGATAATTGACTACTTCTACCAATAGCAAATGGTATTAATATCATTAGAGATTAGATCAACACTCCTTTTTCCCGCCAAACACTAGGTAGCGAATACATGTGTTTTGCAACATGAAACTGAATGGATTATAAGGTTATATTGTTGATGTTTCCCAATAAAGTTCTAGAACAATTTTCGAATTGTATATCTGCTGATTTAATAAAAGATGAACACAATACAACAAAGGAGCCTAAGAAAAAACGATGAACGAGTCTCAGTCATGTCCATTAACTTCAAGATGTTGACCAGCCAGGACACATTGGATATCCATTGAGAACTCTAAACATCAGGGAAGTCGACGTTCAGTAATTCAAACTTTGCGTTGACTGCATAAAGGTATACGTGTATTCCTTTGGCCTTGCCCGATTGATACAGTTTACCGGTCATCTGTCCACTGTCTACTTTGTCGCCCTTCTTCGTCACCAACAAGGTCAAGTGACCGTATTGAAGAGAAGCTAAAGCTCCGGTTTGAGCCGGATATCTGATGCGAAGATAGTTCACATTGACACCACAGGTTTATTCATCGACATCTGCAGCACCACCGCAAGAATCCACTACTTCGTCGTCATATATAGATCTGACGTTAATGCAGACAGTGCCGTTGGATACAACGTCTATGCCTTCATGTCCACCAGTTGGATTAAACATCATTTGAGTGATGCATACTGAATGCATCGCAGTTTTATGATAAAAGAAAGTTTTATTTACTTGAGCTGTAGATCAGAATAGTGCAAAAAAAAAAGAATTATGGAATGCGTAATAGATTTTGAAGGATAGTGAACGACATTAACGATCAAACGACTTCTCTTTTATAATTAGTTTCGAAATGTATCACTACGTAAAAAGTAAAAAGGAGATACACGGGATGGCAAAGAACTGTAAAACCTAGTAAGTCATATGAAATACGTAGTTATCAATATTTGCTACCGATTAGATTTCTCAATTTCTCTTTTTATATATCTATACTCGTCTTCATCTATTGACTCGACTATCAACCGGTACAGAAAAAAAAGATGAATTGAGAAATCTAATAGGGAGTAAATATTGATAGCAACTTATTTTGTATAATTTCATCGATTTTACAGTTCTTTGAACCAAATACACTTCTTTGCTTATTCTTTGGATAGAGATACTTTTCTGGTTTAGATTTAACGAATATTAAAAGTAGTAGCGGCAACAATATAATACCGTATTGAAAGCTTTATGACAATTTGTTGCTGCATGTAGTAGTAGTACTAACGGGGCTACATATTTCTGCAATGTTCAAGAATAATATTCATTGATAACGACAGTGTATTGAAAAGTATAAAGCACTGATTGTGCTACCAGTGGCCGAAGGCTGTCGAATACCGTTAGAAATATTGCTCGTACTCAATTTTGACAACGAAAACCGAATAGTTTTTCAACTATTTAAAGAAACTAAAACATGTAAACAAATAAGTAGCAGATGAAATTGAAGCACATGGACATATCACAGTATTGATCAAGAGACAAGAGACAAATATAGTTGAAATGTTGTATTAAGAAGACACAATTGTATTTCATGACAAATACTCAATCAAACTCTACTTTCTATGCGCAACGAAAATGCATTGGATCAATCTTTTTCAAGCTATGATTGTTTGTGCAGTTTTATATTACAGAATGAATGGATAAACAATTACAAGATCGAATCAAATGAATTTTAGGATTTCTTTCTTAATTTTGATTTCTATAACGATGTCAATTCTTTTCACTTTTCTTCGATGACGAGCTACTCGATGTCTTGTTACTTTTTTCCAGTCTCAATAAAAATATGAAATTCGCCACCTAATTTCGCAACATCATGCCCATCTTTTAACGCCTGTTCTACGTGAGAATATGTAGCAGATTTATGCATAACCCGTAGAGAAACATAGGGCCCAACTCTAAAGCATTCACTTTCTCTCTCTATCTATTGATTTCTATGTGAACAAGTCTTGCTACACACACAATATTCCTTAGTTTTTGTTGAAATCGAATACTGATATATGCAATTTCAAATAGTTTTGTCCATGAAAAATCCAATTCGACACTTAATTAAAAATTGCTTATTCAACAAAATATAAAATTCAAACATAAATAGGGAGAATAGAGATCGAGTGAGAGAGACAGAAAACATTAGACTTCCTACTTCGTCGATGAACTAAAGTTTGAGCAATACATAGTACATTTATATAAGTTTATATTTCAAAATTGTATTTTGATTTTTAAAAAGAACGGTATGAATACAGAAACTTCTATCCTAGGTTTTGCTTCTGTATATGTAAAATGTTTGTCAGAAATAATAAGCTATGAATAATGTTGGAATTATCCAACTATGATTTTATTCCTTCGGAAAAAAAACAACCATAATATATTCTTTTTCTTTTCCGTTCTGTCCAATCGATAACAGGTAACAAAAAAAAATGACATGTTACTCAGAACCTTCCTTTTCTTCCTAACTTATTGTGGCGTGTAAAATTATTTATATATCTGAAGAAAAGACTGAAGCTACCATATCCTTACAAGGAGTCAATTGTTTGAGCTGCAAATTTCGTTAAAATATAGATTAATGATTGTAGTCTATTCATAGCAAGTTTCATCACAATCTGCCAAAATATAATTGCTATAAATGACAAACAATAAAAATCATGCCTTTCAGTTTGACTCACAATTATTCATACATCTCGTATGAAAATACATATAAATTAATGATTTTAAAGATTTGATCTTTTATCTTTGCCAACACTTCCAATATGAAAATAATTAATCTAACAGTAAGATGCGTAAAACTTCATAAAATACATATTTTCAAAGTATTATCACGACAAAAAAAGATCAAATACAAGATTGAAAATTCCATTCATTTATATATGAAATATGACTAATTCTGAGTCAAACTGGAAGGTAAGATTTTTTTATTAGTCATCTATAACAATCATATATTAACAGATTGTGATGAAATTTTCTCTGAATAAATCCACAATGATAAATCTACATATTGAAGAAAACTGAGGCTAAAATGTTCGAATCTTTGTGGAAATATTCTGATTTTAGTATTTTCTCAGGTGTATAAATGATTTTGGATGCCATTGTATATTAAAAACAATCTTTTTGTGTTTTTATTTTTGTTGACTTCAATATGAAACAAACAAAATCAAAACGACAAATTAGTATCTGTAATAATGACGATACTAATAAGAGAAAAAAATTCATAGATGAGTCGAACAGGTCAGTCAAAAGAGAATATTTTCATATTTATAAATCAAATTTTTATCTTTTAGTTCATTGACACAATCTATTACTCATTTTGAAGATATTCCTAATGAACTTTTTTATGAAATTTTTGATTTTCTTGATGTTTATCATGTGTATGATGCTTTCTCAAACCTCAATACTCGATTTGAAAATCTTCTTACTAATTCATCTTTTCTTTTCAAAATTAATATTTCATCTATGTCTAAAGCGAATTTTCAATCTTATTATACAAACATTATCAGTCCTAATAAGCATCGAATTAAATCACTTCATTTATCGAATCCATTTACTGTCGATCTAATTTTTTCACCAGTTCGCATTGTATTAAAATTGATTCGACTCGAAACACTTATATTGGATAATATTCAATCAAAATATCTTCCAAATATTCTCAATCGTTTAGTTTCTTTGCCCAATCTTCATTCATTAATTATCATTTCAATTAAATCTGTTCGTAATCTCAATAACGTTTATCGTCAAATATTTCGTTTACCTGCATTGAAATATTGCAAAATCTCATTGAAAGAATGTGTTGAATCTGAATCATTAACTATTGCAACAGACGAAATCAGTCCTATCGAACATCTTGTTATTACCAATACTATTTATTTAGATGAACTTCTTACACTCTTATCATATGTTCCTCAACTTCGTCGTTTATCAATTCATTGTCTTGATGGATCCCGTAAGAAACAAACGATATCATGGTCAACTAAGTTAAATAATTTGACGAATATTTCTTTAAATATCAAAAATATTATTTCTGATCAATTAGAATCAATGTTCAGAAGTCTTTTTCATCATCTTCAAGTTTTACATATTTCAACATCTTATGATGAAGCATATTTAGATGCTTGTCGGTGGAAAAAATGGATTTTATCATATACACCAAATTTACACATATTTGATTTTCAATATATAAATTCTGTGCAAAATGCTGCTAGCGATAATAATCAGATGATATATAATGATGTGATCAAACAATTCAGTTCTTCGTTTTGGTCCGAACGGAAATGGTTTTTTGCCTATGATTTTTATAGACAAGAGTATCGAGATCATGTAATATTCTATTCAACAGATCCATACAGGTATAAGAAAAATATTTTGTTCCATAAAATATAATAATGTTATATTTAATTTTAAGACGAAAACAATACACATTATATAAATCATTGGATAAAAAAATCTATTCACGCCATCAAGAAAGTAATGTTGATGTTGTTAAACTTGTTGATATACAAGGTGAACAAGCAATGATGAGTTGCATAAATTATTTTTCAAATGCTACTGAATTAACTCTTTCTGACAGTTTTTATGGAAGTCGTATTTGGCTTGGAATTATTCTTAATCGAATTATTTCGTTAAAACAACTTACTAAACTCGTTATTGATTGTAATGATTTTCGTTTTGAACAGGTTATTAAACTATTACGTTTAACACCAAACGTTCATACATTAATACTTGACTGTCAATCAATTAATCATACAGATAGTATATCAATTGAACACACTGATACTTTTCGATTTGTTTCTAATACAAATACTATTACAAATGCAACTATAAAATCAACATATTCAATGAAAAATATCAAACTATTTGTGGCTCTATGTCCTCGATTACAACATCTCACTATTGATATAAATAGAATGGATCCTAAACCAACTATAGAATTTTTATTATCAAGAAATAATTCCAATACTCGTCATTTGTTTTCGTTATGCATAAAACATAGAAGTAAATCACAGATAAACAAATTAAAGACATTAATTAAATCAGAAAAAATACTTGATGATTATTTGATTAAACAAATTTCTTTAGAATTATATATTTGGTGGTAGATTTCATTGATGAATAAAATAAATTATTCTCAAACAAGCAAAAATATGCAGAAATAATCAGTTAAATGGTCTTGGCAACTGAGCTTATTAGAAATTTCATTTGAAACTTGAAAGATGCAGAATTTAATATGTCCATAGTACTTGTTGGAAATGTTAAGAAAATTTTGCGTAGGAATCGAATTAATCAATATGAATGTATCATGTATGTCGAAGTTAATATCTAGAAAGAATTTTATCGCTCTAGATATTTTGATCAGTGAGAAAAATATCATTTGTATAAATAAATGCCGCTTTGCGTTCCGTAACACCCATTCTAGAATGCTAAATTTTCTGTCGAAACGGACGAGATTCAATGAAAAACTCTCTTCAATGACTAATGGAAAATGACCTAGAAGGTTACATTCAAATCTGAAATTGAAAAGTAGTAGCATTGGTTGTGTCTCTTGTGCAATGATTCTTAAGAATTCTCTCATCTATGAAAGATAGATATGCAAAATATTTATATCCTACAAGAAAACAGTCAGAGAAGTTTAACATTTTGGTGTATGTCGCACATCAAAGGTAAGTGTTCATAGCAAAACCATTGAGTGAATAGGTGCTTTCTTCCCTAAACAATGCTTCATTCAAACGAAAATGTGGCGAATTAAAAAATTTTGTCATCGCTTTTACTTGCTCTTGACTATCAATTCATTCTTGACGCATTTCTTCATGAATATTCACACAAGTTTAAATGGTCTGAATGAGAATGCTAAATATCACAGATAATCTCTTTGCCTTTCTCCATCTACACATTTGCGTTTCTTGATTTAAGAAAGCAAGATGTCTTCTGGCACTGTTGTCGCTTCAATTCCACTGTTGTTGACTATTCTCGTTACTCGTTTACATGTGGATGTGATTGTGAGTGTTTGAGGACGCTGTGTTACCCACATCCACACCCACCTCCTATCAGGCAATGTTCATATCATGAACTTTAATAATAATTTGTCTATAAAACGACGAATCAAACATACCTTCTTCATCGTTACTCTCACTCAACAATATAAAATCTAGCAATTCCAACAAATTCAAAAGGTTTATATAATATTTTAAACAAATAGTTTGATTAATTCATATCGAAATATATTATTTAACTTACTGTATTGATCGATAACCACCCATTGTGATGCATTACTCACGTGATCATTTATAAACTGACCATTTACACATTAATACTTTTTATTAAACATTATCTACAAGAAAATATTTAAAAAATGCATTATTATCATTTTCTCTAATTGAAGTGAGGTTATCATCATTCTCACAGGTATATAATTTTCTTTTGCTACGCTTGATAATGTTACATTCGGAAGTGCTTACATGATGATGGATGATAGTTGAAAGGAGATGAAAAGTATTCAAGCTGGACATGACATGTCATTTATGCAAAACGTGCAAAGTTTAGCACTAACATAGCTTAGACAATTATTTATGCACGCCTATAAGGGTATTAAGAGAATAATTAAAACGAGTACTTATACGTATCCTGGACAAAATGGAAGAAGCCAAAAGCAAAAGAGAAAGAACGAAAAAGAAAAAGGAAAAAAAGAAGAAAGGGAATAAAAAAAAGCACATGTATTACGTTGTATTCTTTTTCTTCCTATTAATTCGTTTCAACAAACAACAAGCACTGTAAAAGATACGACTCGTGTCGATGTATTAATTGTTTAACACGACGTTTACGAAAAAAATGATCGAGGTGATCGTCTTTTCTTTTGTGAAACTCATCCCAAACGAAGATATCGTTGCAGAAAAGTGAGGATTCAAGATCAGTCAAATGCATGGTTCTCAATCTCCTGTGAATGAACTTTTTTAAATAAAAATCTAGAGTGCTCAGATATGGTGACATAATGATTGTGTGGAGAGTCGAATGGACAGTGAGACACCAGCCGAAGCCCTTACCCGGAACTTTTAATGCAGCATCTGTTGTTGAGTCTCTAGAAGCAGAGGATAAAACACGAATAACCAAGCGAAATGTGAGAAGGTATACGCAAAGAGACATTGACAAAGCACCTTTGAAGACACATTACGTACAGATTTTAACCATCTCAGTTTTGCTATAGATTTCTGAATATTTCCGACACATTTATCAACTGTTGGTTTCAGGGATAATCTGTCCATCCGTGAAAATCCTAGATACTTAAATTCTTTAACTAATTCAATATTTTCTTCGTTCATACTTATGTTCAGTACAGGTCTTCTTGTTTGTGTATGAAATATCTATAATCTTGCTTCTTCATTGACATGCGTATTTTCATTATTTATGATAAAATACATAGGCTGAATGTTGTTTGCATCTATGAGAACTTAATCCTATGATTGTATATATATTCTAAGAGTGCTAGATTATTATTATTCTGATAAAGTAATAATAAAAATGATAAACACAATCTGACATAGATAGCATACGAGAAGACGACATGAACGAAAAAACTGTTCAAATAGATCGTATCCTATCACAAAAATAGTTTTAACAGTTTCGTTCTAGTAATTGATCAATTCAACGTTTACAAGCCATTTGTGATACTTTGAGCGCTATGTCTTGTTGTTAGCAGTCACTTTCTACGAACTATCTAGGAAGTGATTCCTATAATTTTTCAAGGGTTATGTATGATAAGTTCTAAAGCTAGACTATTTTTTCAAAAATACTCAGTTAAAACAAAATTTCATACGATTCCTTTCAACTATTAATATTGATAAGAAAATGTCAGCAGCCACCCTTAGTTCGATAATAACTTACTACTTGAGATTTAGTTTAAGTTTTAAACATCTCACTTGAAATCGGATCAGGATTGAAATAGGTAAGGGGTTTTCTTTACCAAAGTCGATCTAATCGGTCAGACCATCATTTTTCACTTTTCTGATCCTACAATGGTAAAATTAAATGCTCGATTAATTCCCCATAAATTTTCTCTTCCTCAGCATGTCTCTGTTAACTGAAAACTTGATAGAACTACAAGTTCTATGCCAGCTTTTATACATTAATTGAATATTCGTCAAATACTAATATTACTAATCAATTGCATATTTACGTTACCGTTTAGTTTTTTCTTGCTTTATTATCTCTTATATTTGTACAAAATATAAGCAATAAATACTACAGAATTGAAAATAAACCTATGATAAATTGAAATATTAAATAAGAATTCCATTTGATAATTTGATATCAAATTAAGTTGACTGAAATATATTTTGTACGAGATGATGAATTTTCACTTAATAGAATAATTTCTATGCATGTTCTCCCAAAAGCATAGTTATTAGCATCAGTAATATGTCTTTTACTTAGGGCAATCCAAAAGTAGTGGCAGTAGTACTTTTATTCCTTATAAAAAGCTTTAAGAGACTTTCTTTGTATATAGTCTGATAGAGAAAAGAATGCTCTATTTTTCTATGCTATTTGATCATACTTCAACTAATATAATAATAATAAACTTTTGATGAATACACCATATTAAAGTGCGGTTTTCACCGTTGGAAAGAGGAGATGAAGATGCATCGAATCGTATGATGTTATAGATTTTTCTAATATTGACTTCTGAGGTATTTTGACTCAATTTTCTAACTGTCGCAAAAATGTTTTTTTTTATGAAAAAAAGAAAAAAACATAAAAAGTGAGCTTTTTACAGAGACTTTGCTGGAAAATCGTACTAGAGATTCGACTATAATTCATATTTATCATCTCAATCTTCCGTACTTTGTAGATCTTTGATTAGTGGTTTGAATTTAAACTTGATAATTGAAAATTCACTGTAAACAACTCACTAGATAGGTTTATTCTTACAAAGATCGATTGAAAACCTTACAAAAAGCAGATCAGGAAATCCTGGAATATACGATTCGATAGATCTTCATCTCCTCTTTCGAATGGTGAAAACCACAGTTCTCTATCTTGTTTTTATCAAAAGTTATTTGAAAAATACTCATTCGTATTTTTTAAAATGAGTATTATCTATTATAACCAGCACATAAGATCACAACACAGATCTTATCGAAATTTTTTTATTATGATATTAGTTGAAGTATGATCAAATTGCATAGAAAAATAGAGCATTCTTTCCTCTATCGAACTATGCAGAGAGAAAGTTTCTTTAAGCTTATTATAAGGCATTGAAGCGCTACTGACACTACTTTTGGATTGCCCTAAGTATTTGACAAAAAAAGCATTTTAATGAGTAAATTTTTTCAAAACCCATATGCAAAAACTAAAAAAGCTCAAGATCTGTCAGTAGATAAAAATTTGTGTGTACCAGCCAGTAAGAAATTCTCTACCGAATTGGTCTTAAGCGGCCCTTTGGCATTACTGAATACAACTCTGAGTTGAATGATTTAGTGAATAGCTTGAGGAACATACCAGTTAATTTTGATACTGTTCTTCCAGATGTACTATATTTGTAGAATGATGATTTTCTATAAAGTTTAACCGGATTCGAAACTGAGTCATAGCTGCTGTTTTTGTCTTATTAATATTAGCGATTAAGTGGAATCATATGAGATTTATTTTAACTAAGTCTGGGTGCGGGTGTAGAAACATGAACATTCACACCCCACGCCTACAAACCCTCACTCGCATCCTTATTATTTATGTCGGTAACATCAGATCATGTCGTCTTCAATGCGTATTTTGTTGTTCCTTTCTCCTCTTCCTCTATCTCGAATTTTCTCTGGTGTCAATTTCACTCACATGCGCATGTAAAGAGACATTTTTCGTTCTTTCTTCCGAGTGTGGAAGTATGTTGGCATAGTTTGTCAGTGTGTTATTGTAAAACGTAAAAGAAGTAAAATTTAGATTAAAACATTCATAGACAGTCCATACAAGAAAAGAAGAGATGAGTATTCTTAGCGATTCTTCAGAAACAGAACCACTGCGTCAAATCAATCCCGATCTACTTCGATCTCTTTCACTGAAAACGGAAAACAATTTGGTTGACTTCGTCATTGTTTTTATTGATCCTCTAATGGAA